AAATAGAGGCATCCCCAGCTGTCATCGATACTTCTACGCACATTGATGAACACATTACTTCTCGATCGAACTGATCCTTGGTGGTGAGTCGGATCTGAACACATACTACATATATTTTAAGCAACAAGTGCACATTAAGCATATTGATCAAAAAGTACATTTTGAAAATCAATATGTGATAACTTACCTTAATCGCTTTACCAACGGCCATGTCAGTTTGTACGATAGTGAGCTGACAGCGAGCTGGATCCACCACAGGACCTGAGGGCAGCCATCGTGCTAGAAAACCAGCAGTGGATGTAGCACATGCAGAAAGAAATTCGCGCAAGAAGACTAGATCTGAAATTTTTTTTTACATTTGCGTGATTCGTTTCGTGTAATTGCAAAATTTTGATGAGCAAGTTACCTGGAGACTGGGCCGAAGATGGCAAGCCCTTCTGTATTAATTCGTTCAGAGTTGGAGCATGAGTGAGACTTAGACCTTTTTTCAATAACGAGCCATGTTTTTCCAGTAAAATTCTGGTATCTTCTTCAGCAGTGGAGAGGTGCGTCAAGGAAGATGCATCGGAGGGAAGCTATAACAGGTAGTCAAAGCTGCGAATACTATCATTGATAAGCGAGAAATCGCATGCCTGAACGATAACTCTGCAGGCACTAGCTGAAAGCCAAGCTAGTTCCTGCTCAAGTCTTAGATTGGAATCTTTTCGCGAAGCTGGATAGCCAGTAACCGTACAGTTAAAACCATACATCTAAATATTCTAAATTACTTCCTTAGTGGCAACAAAAAAGCTTTAAGAGCACCTGCTCAGAAGTTGCACCATCAACTTCCGCTGTCGTCTCTAAGATGAACCAAAGGGAATTGCCAGGAAGAAGCAAAGGAGTTGTTGGCCAGTCTTTTGAGCCGAAGTATCTCAAACACACATCTTAGCATCTCATGTAAATCAACATTGACAAATCTACCTTCCAACAGGGACGTAGCTTTCCTTATTCACGCCAATATACAACCGAAGTTGATCATCGGCTTGCGCAGTTTCGCAGGAAGGAGAAAATTGCACGCAGAGGAAATGCACGCTCTCTTCAAAACCCACAACCTTAACAAGGGGTATAACCCTGCTCACAATTATCTGTAGAGGAGTTTTACCACAGAATAGACGTTGTTGGTCTTATAGGGATGAGGGCACTCCACAATGATTTGTGTTGTCCTCGCTTCACATATCTCAGAATTGTGATCGAATGATTCACTAATAGTACTAGCTTTTACCGTTGCATTAGCACTAGATACCATAGGAATCAGCTGTTCCAAAACGCACGTGATCTAAAACAGCGTCATTGAAAGCTTTGAGATGTTGACAAAACTGCATTTGAGGTCCCGGGAGAAAACACAAGACTCCTATAGCGCAACTTTCACCAAAAAGCGCCTCGATAACCAACCACTATACCACCGTGTGGTAGGTACTGTTCACAAGGTGGAAACTTTCAAGATTGTTGATGTTGATGCAAATAGAGTAGTAAGACAAGGATAATACCCAAGAGGCTTTTTTTAGAAAATGAGACAAGCTTGGAAATTTCTGTGTAACCCAGCTGTGATTGCTGTGATTAAAATGATTAATAAAAAATTCTTTAGATTAGTGAATCTGTTGCAAAAACTGAGCGAAAACACCCAACATTTTGAATGCAACTCCAAGTTTTAAAAATGAACGAAAAAAAATTGAATATGGCAGATACTGTGCATTACTAGGTAAAAACAGTTCACGTACATACAGTACAACCACCTATAGTGCATATAAATCTTATGGCAGATTTTTTCTCTCTTTTTATTCTTTGATTGGACTGCTATTCATTCGGACCTCATTGTTATTCTAAAATCCAAGCATAAGCTACCCGTAACTCTAACCGTGCAAAAAACCATTTAGCATGTCTTTAGCAGTCATTTCTGAGCTGTTCGGTAAAATGTCATATAACTATACTTTATGAGTTCATCTATGAAAAGTCTACAAACCTCCATCGCTTTCATGGGGAACAACTCCATAAATACCATTACATGTCCAGCGATCCGTGATATCAGAGATCTAGAGAAATGAATTCTTAGCACTTTAAATTACTGTACCAAAAGCACTGCTCACCTTGCGCATTGTGGAATAAGGCCATTAACGAGAAAAGCACCAATCTTATTCGATAGCAGGCGGAGCAGCATAACAAATGATTTATGAGTCTGCAACAAATACGAACGTGAAAGAGCGGAAAAAAAGGTGAGCAAAAAAGTCCTCCTGAGAAATTGAGAATGTAATAAGAAGAAGTTGAGATTCAGA